TCTCCACTTTCCCACTGGAGATCTTCTCTCGGATGGATCCTACCTCAAGGTCACCCCTCTGTGCCTCTAACACTCGTGTCACAAGTGTTGGCTGCGCAACAACAGAAAACAAGGCCGCAGCCTCAACAGATTCGCCCAGAAGCAAATCAAACTCACCAAGAGCACCCAACATCTCCCACTCCCGGATGACTATACAAGCTACATCACTAAGAGATTTTCTGCTAAGGGCGTCAGCCACAACATTGGCTTTTCCTAGGTGATAGTGCAACTCAAAATCGTAATCCTCAATAAACTCCATCCATCTCCTCTGTCTCAAGTTCAAGTCTTTCAGTGTAAACAGATATTTCAAACTCTTATGATTCGAGAATACCTCGAACCTCTCACCATAAAGATAGTGCCTCCAAATCTTTAAGGCAAATATTACAGCTGCTAACTCTAGGTCATGTGTAGGGTAATTCCTCTCATGTATTTTCAATTGATGTGAGCCATAAGCAACCACTTTCCTCTCTTGCATCAACACACAACCCAAGCCCTCTCGTGAGGCATCACAATAAACCGCATAACCTAAACCTCTTTCCAGAATAATCAACACTGGAGTGGTTGTAAGTCTAACTTTCAACTCCTGGAACGACTTTTCACAAGTCTCACTCCATACAAACTTAACCCCTTTCCGCGTCAATCTACTCAACGACGAAGCTAGTCTGGAGAAATCCTTCACAAATCGATGGTAATACCCAGCTAATCCTAGAAAACTACGGATCTCAAAAACACTCTTAGGCTGTGCCCAATCTTGCACTGCCTCAATCTTGGATGTATCAACAGACACCCCTTCCCCAGAAATCACGTGGCCTAAGAATTTGACCTCTCTTAGCCAGAACTCACACTTCCCGAACTTGGCATACGACCTGTGGGCTCTAAGAAACTCAAGCACCACTCTTAAGTGTTCCTCGTGCTCCTCCTCAGAAGGTGAATAAATCAGAATGTTGTCCACGAAGACGACCGCAAAGCGATCTAAGAATTCCTGAAATATCTGGTTCATCAAGTCCATAAACACTGCCGGTGCATTGGTGAGCCCAAAAGGCATCACCAGAAACTCATAGTGGCCATACCGCGTACGGAATGCTGTCTTCGGAATATCCTCCTCCGTGACCCTCAACTGGTGGTAACCGGATCTCAAGTCTATCTTAGAGAAACAACGGGACCCCTTCAACTAGTCAAACAAATCGTCAATATGAGGCATAGGGTACTTATTCTTAACTGTAGCCCGATTCAACTTTTGGTAATCGATACAAAGTCTCAAGGAACCATCTTTCTTTTTAGCAAAGAGGGCTGGTGCTCCCCACGGCGAAACATTAGGGCGGACAAAACCCTTATCTAGCAACTCCTAGAGTTAAATCTTCAGCTCACTCAATTCGGCTGGGGCAAAACAATAAGGTGTCATGGAAATCGACGCCGTGCCAGGCACTAAATCAATAAAGAACTCGATCTCTCGATGTGGTGGAAAACTTATAAGATCCTCGGGAAAGACATCTGAGTACTCACAAACCACTCTCGGTAATACAGTATGGGTCTTATCACACTCACCACTCATAAAGCTAGCGAGAAGACCACTAAGCTCACTCCGCCCACGCGAATCATACACCGATGGCAACACACTACCCACCCGATCCCCTAAGAAATGAAAACAATCCCCACTCAAGGTACATATTGTGACCCTCTGGCGGTAACAATCAATAACAGCTCGGTATGACGATAGCCAGTCCATACCCAAAATCACATCAAAACCTGACATGGCCATAACTACAAAAGAAAATGGAAGTCGGCGATCGGCGACCTCTATATCGCACCCTTTACACCCTTGTTTCAAAATCAATTCACCGCCCAACAGGTGATACTACACAAATAGGAGATGCTAACTGTGCCAACTCCAGCCCCAAAACAGATGCAAATGCAGCAGATATAAAGAAATGAGATGCACCCGTATCAATCAACACATTAGCAACCGAGTTGCAAAACAAAAAGGTACCTCTCACAATAGATGGAGCCGGTACTAGATCCTGCGCGGTAACAGCATACACACGTCCAGTAGGCCCCTAATCTACCTGCTCACCCTTAGGAGCAAAAGACTGCTGCACAGACTGAGACGATGAAGCCCCCTAATTGGCTCTCGAGACCTGAACTGACTATGTTGGCTAAAAACTCTGCGTCTGCCTAGAACCAGACGCACCCGATGTGGCACTCAACTGCAGGCAAAACCTCTTCAGGTGCCCCGCCTGACCACACTGGTAACAAGAGAGCGGCTGACCTCTGCCCTGACTCTGGCTCTGAGGTCGAGCCGAAGATGAATCTGCTCTCTGACGACCTCCCCTCTGCGGGCAAGCTGGAGACTTGTGGCCCAGCTGACCACACTTGAAACATGTAACGTCTCTCTGACTGCCTCTTCCCGAGCCTGCACTCGACACTGGAAAGGTCGATCTAGCAAATACACCCTGGGACTGCTGACGGTTAGAGCCCCTCTGCCTCCTACCGTCCCCCTGACCATCCTGACTCCTCTTGGAGCCCCTCATCCTCTCCTCTTCCTCGTGCATCATGATCTCCATATGGGCCACAGCATCCACATGACGCTCATACTCCCGAACCATGGATCCCCCAACTCTGGTCTTGAGTCCATGTCTCAACTCTCTCTCAAACTCGAGACAACGGCGTTCTTCTGACGCCACAAGCTCAGGTGCAAACCTGGATAAACTAGTAAATGCGGCCTCAAACTTGGCCACTGGCATACTCAGCTGCTTGAGCTGACAAAACTGGTCTCTCAGCTTTTTCCTGACAACTGGAGACAAAAACTTCTCCTGAAAAGCATCTACAAAGGCCTCCCATGTAACACCAACACGACTCCTCATGAACTTCCACCACTGACCCGCATCTCCCTTCAACTAGAAAGACGCTAAGGTTACCTTTAAAGCCCCATCTTCGTCATCTGCTCAAGCCACTCATCAGCCTTCAGTGGCTCTTTCGGATCCCCCACAAACTCGTCCAGATTAGACCGGAAGAACTCCCTCTCCAGAAAAGAAGGCCATGCCTCAACTACATGGGCTTGGGCTTGATTCTCAGCCCTGAGAATGCCCATAGATTCCCTCAACACTCCTACCATCTCGCGGGCTAAGGCGCTCATGGCCTGTTGACCTACTGGCTCGGCCCCATTGGCCTGACCAACACCCTCCTGCTGCACCGGAATCTCATCCGGTATAGGCATCTCTTGCCTCCTAGGCCGCCTACCACCACGTCCTCGTCCTGACATCCTAATAAAGGTAACGAAGAACATTAGCACATTCACAAATGAGCCGAAGCTATAACACTCGCGTCCTAAAGCGTTGGACAACAGTAATTCATTCCACGTAAGCGCATAATCACATAAGCACTTACGAATTTCATTTCTGGATAATGACAGTCCCAAGGCGTTACTAGAGTTCCGGTTAGAAACAACATTGATCAAGTGCTTTTCCAACAAGACTCACAGAAATCCAAGGATTCAGTCAACATCCTAGAAATTAAATCCCATATCCAAGTAGTCACATAAACATGTTATCACATAAGTACATAACATTACATCTAATTCGCTAACAAACGAGACGAACCCATTGTGATACTAATCACTTCCCGTCTATCCAAAGTATTCGAACCCGGTACGCTCTGATACCAAGTTGTAACGCCCTCGAAATAAACCCATAAATCATACAATCTTGACATGCTTAGACATAAGAGAATAAAGCATAATTTCATTCATCAGAGTATTCATTACAAAAGTATTACATGTTGACATCAAAAGTAAATGCCCTACGGGCTTACAACTTTCCAAGTCGACACTTGGTTACAAAAAAAGAGAGTACTAACTCAAAACACAAAATAAGCCCTTGGCTTGATTTACATGTAATTAATATACAAAAATAAACAAGAGCCATCAACTCCCACAACCATCCAAGCTAAGACCTCAGAGGCGGCATAATACCTGAACCTGAAAAATGATGTCCCATATAGGGTGAGCCAACGCCCAGTAGCGATATGCTAAACATAATATGAGCAATAACTAAAACATTAGCATTCGATAAATGTTTAACTCATATATACCAACTTATAACACATTTCAATTTCATGACAAATATGTCCATGTTTCATTCCATTTTCCATTACTCATCCAGTTCTCAATTTATGAATAAGGCTCAGAACCTGGCCAATAATTTAATGAGATGATAACTCATATCAAAACACTTCTATAATTCACAATAGATACACATACTTGCTGTATCAATACCACATCAAAACACTTCCATACTTCATAAATGATACACAGATTCGCTGTATCAATAACACATTAAAACACTTCCATACTTCATAAATGATACACAGATTTGCTGTATCAATGGAGTTCATCCCCTATCTCCTCCCAAATAAAATCTGGTTTAGGAGTCCATCCCTTATCTTCCCCTAAACCGTGGAGTGCATCCCCTATCTCCTCCCACACAACACAATGTATATAAACACATATCATATACATGAGTAGTCAATACATAAATTTGATGTATTATTCCAATCGTCATATTCGATGACATAATCAATTGATTAGTTTTAATTCGCCTAGTCACCATGCATTGTCTACAACAATCAAGACTATCCTCCACCGATAGCCCAAAGTAATTTATTTCTAAATAGATAATAAATGCATCAACAGATAATTTGACAACAATTTCATAAGTGAGCGATTAATAAATCCAACTCCACCATTCCCTCTTATAATGAGCCAATTTCATTATTTCCAACTTATGGGGATGTGGTTTGGAAATACTCTTCAGGATCTTGGGGAACACTCGTGATCCTCTTCTGGTCACCTAAAAAAGAATAAACACTCCGGTCTGGGGTGCTGGAATTAGCACTCCGATGGGCAAGTTAGTATCTACACTCGAGGAAGCTTGTCTTCTAAGTTAAGCACAGTAATTCTCACATACCTCTTTAGGACTGAAGATCTTGCATTTATAGTATTCTCCTGGGGCCTTGGGGCCTGGCCCACTCCTAGTCCTTGCCATATACTTCTACATGGCCCTTGTTTCACTGGCAGGAATTCCGGCTCTTTTATTCGACCCTTCAATTGGATAGGGTCAATGCCGAATAGAAGTTATGTTCTGGACCGGATTGGTCCGCTCCTGCTGATCCAAAATTATTCAGTTCCCACAATTGCCCCCCAAACACCCCACTGGCACCAGTTAGTCGGCGTGTTTGGCTTCTAGTCTAGAGGTTAGAAATCCGGCGGTTATTCCTCTTCCCAATGCGTGTCAGAATGCGTACATACTTCTTGGTCATTATAGCGCTTTCCTGCCCCTTCGTACGCTACCTCCATTTAATACGATTTGAATTTGTCTCTTCGAATGTATGCTCTGAATACTCGAAGATATCTGGCTCGTCTTCCAGTGGGACTCCTACATGCCGCGGCTTCTTCAACCCCTTGTTTCTCGATCTTTCCTTCGCCTCCTGTAAGTTTTCTTCATCTATATTTTTTGATCCCCCCTTTTTATCTGTTTTTAGTTTTCCGTAATCCTTGAGTCGGCAAGAATGACGAAACATTTGAAGGAGCTCCTTTCTGCGGATCGAATCTCCAGCTTTCGACGCCACTTCTCCATCCCTGACGATGTCCATCTGTCACTTTTGGCAGACAACACTACTGATATGGTGAGGGAAGACGAGAACACAATCTTCTTTCCTCTCCTATCAATTGCTGAGGGCGGCGTCCGTTTTCCTCTTCACCCACTTTTGAGGGCCGTTCTTCGGTACTGGGGTCTCATTCCTTCCCAGCCCAATGTGAACTTCTTCCGCATCATAATGGGCATTGTAGAGATAAATCGGCGTCTTAGAGTTAATTTAGGTATTCTTGCCATTCAGCACTATTATGTCCTAGCCAAGTCTACTGGCTATCTGGGACGTTACTTCCTTAGAGCCAAGGACACTGACCACCACTTAGTGACCATGCTTGCTAGCTCTGGCAAGCGTGTCGATGACGTGATGGTCGTTATACGCGGTAATTGGGAATTCGACGAAGGGGAAGATCGCCTAGATCCTGTGCCAAGGTAAAAAGGCGAACCAGGTGGCCGACTAAGCCACTGTTTTTGTTATTTACATATGCATGTATTCGGCACTTTAGCTCATCTAATCGTTTTGTCTGTGCAGGCAGTGACTTGAAGAGAGTGTTGACTTCAGACGACGAAGTTGTGCTCGCAGAAATTAAAACCGCGCTACAGTTCATCGGCCGTTCAGACCTTCAAAAACAAGGGAGGGCAGCCCACATTCTCCTGCGGTACGAGCCAACCGACACGACATTCTCAGCGGCAGATAATATTTCCATCGCGCGAGGTGATAACCAACTGACGGCCCTCATCTTCCCCAGCTTCAAAAACTTGAGGCAGATTGGCCTCGAATCGTCTGATTCTGAACACGTGGAAGGACAAATTGCCGAACCGATCGCCGAGGACCCGAAGGAGTTGGCCGCGAAAGTTGACGAAGCCATAAATTCGGCCTTTGAGGAAGCTGGGTTGAACTCTTCTGACCCTCAATCTACGTCAGGCCAAGGGGACGCCGAAGATATCTTTACGAACTTGGGAGATCTTCCCGGCGATTTCGCTAAGGATATGGCTGGGGATAATCTTACGCAGATGGCACGAAAAAGGAATGCCGAACACATGGCCGCCCGACAAAAGGCCGTAGCCATCCGTTCCGGACTTGTCCCGACTGAATCTACTACTTCTGTCGTCACACAAGAAACGGCTCACGTTGTCGTGGCTGAGACGGAAAAAGAGGTCGAGCGCCCGATTATGGAAGTTTGGCCGATTTCAGAGGATTGGGGCGAAGAACGAGGTGCTGAGGGTGAGGACGACTCCGAAAGGGGCCCCTTTGAAAAATGGCCATGCTTGGAGGAGTCGGCTGTGGTTGCTCTTTTTGTTATTGAGCCAAAGATAAAAAATATGCTGATCTCCTCCGAAGCGTTGGCTTTGAAAGATGCAGCTGTGGCACTAAGCCTGGCTGCCTCGATTTCCTTGCCGGCTGACAAGGCGACCTTTCGTACCGAGCCGAATTTGGCGACAATAGCATTAGCCACTCAGTCGGCTTTTCTGGTACGTGACTATATCTTTGGTTTGGTTTGCATTTGATGTTTCTTGGTGCATGACGATCCTTTGTTTTGCAGACGGTTGGAAGGATCGCAAAATTGGGCCGCCGCCAGCATGACGTTGTTGAAAGGATTGGTCGTTTGCAATCTGAAGTCGAGGGTCAAAGGAGCAGGGCAGAGTTTGTGGCAATGAGAGCCGCGATAGAAAGCGCGCGAGCCGAGGCTGAGAAGGAAAAGGCCAAAACTGCTGATCAACTCAGGTCTGACGCCGAGGAGAGGGCAAATGCGAGTAAGAAGTCGCTCAAGTTAGCCAAGGAGGAGCTTGCCAAGCTGGAGGCCGAGTTTGGAGAGTTGAAGCAGGCTAAGGAGAAAGCCGACTCTAAGTCCTCGGCGGCGTTCGAGGCTAGGAAGAGCTCCGCCTTTAAGGACTATGCAGAAGAAGTCCCCAAATTCGAGAATCAGGGGTTCAAACACGGCTGGCTCATAGCCCTTGCTGCCGCTGGAGTTACATTGGCCACGCCAATTCCCTACGAGCAAGTGGACGTTGAGCCGCTTGAGTCTGACCCTAAGACTTGATTTGGGAGACATTCTAGTTTTGTTAGATTTTTCTCAATTTCAATGTCTGTTTTTGTTTAGTAGATTTTCATGTATATTGGATTTTCATGTGTAAAATGTCCGTTGTTAGCGCCCAATTTATGAATGAAAATTTCATATGCTCTCAAGATATTTCTTGTATTGTTTGTTGTATGAGTAGACAGTTAGGAGAATCAGTGGTTAGGACAAAACTCCAAGACTACGTGAGACAGCAGACTTACAAGCCGACTGAGCTTAGCGATCTGATTAAAATAATGAATCTGCCCTTGCCCCAGCGGGTTCGCGATCGTAGAACGCCGAATAACACGTCCATAAGAACCTTGTGTTGAGGCATCGATTCGGGGAACGGCTGGGGCACTTAAGCCGACTAGATTGATGAATCTGCCCTTGTCCCAGCGGGTTCACGATTGTAGAACGCTGAATAACACGTCCATAAGCACCTTGTGTTGAAACATCGATTTGGAGAACGGCTGGGGCACTTAAGCCGACTAGATTGATGAATCTGCCCTTGCCCCAGCGGGTTCGCGATCGTAGAACGCCGAATAACGCGTCCGTAAGCACCTTGTGTCGAAGTATCGATTCGGGGAACGGCTGGGGCACTTAAGCCGACTAGATTGATGAATCTGCCCTTGCCCCGGCGGGTTCGCGATCGTAGAACGCCGAATAACACGTCCATAAGAACCTTGTGTTGAGGCATCGATTCGGGGAACGGCTGGGGCACTTAAACCGACTAGATTGATGAATCTGCCCTTGCCCCGGCGGGTTCGCGATCGTAGAACGCCGAATAACACATCCATAAGCACCTTGTGTGGAAGCATCGATTCGGGGAATGGCTGGGGCACTTAAGCCGACTAGATTGATGAATTTGTCCTTGCCCCAGTGGGTTCGCGATCGTAGAACGCCGAATAACACGTCCATAAGCACCTTGTGTTGAAGCATCAATTCAGGGAACGGCTGGGGCACTTAAGTGAACTAGATTGATGAATCGTAGAACGCCAAATAGATGCAATTGGGACATATGATTTGTTCAACGCTGGGTAGTTGACGCTTCAACATTGAGGGGATTGCCTCGGAGGTGCTGCCCCCGTAGGGAATAAATGGGCGTGTACTTCGTGAACGAGGGTCCTATTTACGTGCTCATTCAGCATTTCAGTCCAGCTCTTTGAGGAAGATTGAACAAGGGCAAATGTCAAATAAACTTTTCTTCAACAACAAAGGCGAAGCGAAGACTCTAGCTGAGCTGGGAGGAGCTATGAGTCGAAGCGGTGAACCTTCGCGCACGGGCAGTAGGACTTTGAGGGATGCGGAGAGGCGCCAATCTCCTCATCGTCGGAGTAGGTCGCCCAAAAGGGACAAACAGCCACAGCGTAAGTCTCCTCAGCTCGATTTCGGCAGGCAACCTGACGCGACTCCTCGCCCATTGAGTTTTGCAGTCTTCGTGGGTAATAGACCAATGACAGAGGCGGACTCAATCGTTCGAGATCCGAATGTGGCAGTCGAATTTTCTCGACAGATTTCCCCGCCCGAAGTTCAACAGTCGATGGTAGGTCAATAGGATTTCGAAGTGTTTCGTAAAGGCATTCACGGGGCGGTGAGGGGACTATACACGGCTTATGAGATCGGCATGCATCTCCACGTCGCGCGCCGCAACATAGAACAGAGAGATGAACGCATTCGGAAGTTAGAAGCTCGCGCCGAGAAAGCGGAGCACGAGCTAAGGAAAATCAAGTCTACCGGGCCCCACTCAACCAGCCACCCCAATCCGGTTATTGAAGAGAGGGTTACTTAGAGGCTGATTAGCGATGCGATCGCCGATCGTAATACGGCTAGCATGTTCGCGATCGAGACTGCGAGGGGTACGACCTATGAAAAAGGCTTCCATGACGGCTGAAAGGTCAGAATTCAGAAGACCAAGGAGAAACTCGCTGAAGAAGTTTGTCGATATGAAAATCGTGGATTTAGGCACGGTTGGATCAAGGCGCTTCGGCAAGCTGCGAGTCTCCAATCGGGAGGGTTGGATTCGACGTTTCCGTTGTATCAACAGAATGATTTTCCCTTCTCCGTATTTGAAATTGAGAAGAGCGATGACGAAGAAGCCGCTGAACCCAAGAAATCCTTGTAATGCTTACGTAGATTGAAAGCAAAATTATGTATTTATTCACCGAATTTAATAAAATGCTTAGTTCTCAATCTATAGCGCACTTGTTATTTATATTACTCATTTTATTCCGAACATTCTTGTTTGAATACTTGCATTTTTCGGCCCTCATTTACGGAGGTTGTACTCATTTTATTGCAACTTTGCTTCGTTGAAAATTTTATTCGACACACGCATTT